TCACTGACACACTGCCCGATATATACCTCTTATACCAATTATAATAGCTCGAGCCCATTCTGGATTTGCCGACACTCAACCCGAGAATTTTTTTTTGAAAAAGATGGTTCCCCACATAAATCACATTTATATTCTCAAAAACTTCAAATATTTGATGCCTTACTTTAAACTACTTTCTTATCTTTTGCTTTTTAATTTGTACAAAATAAGTTTGTTTCATATCAATATATTTATTACACTTACTTTAAATTACTTTGTCTTATTCTTTAGTCAAGATCGTAATGTAAGCAGTTTAGTTGAGCTATACTCATATTGACTCTTGATATTGTCTTTTTTGGACTCTTCTTTTCGGACTTTCCCTTTCAGACACTCGGGCTTCTCCTTAGAGTTTTAAAAGGCGTCTAATAGGGAGAGATTTTCACACTAAAAAACGTTTTGTTCTCCTCTCGACCTAACGTGAATCTCATGACTTATGGTGGGTGAGGTTTGTATGTGGTCTTTTTCCAATCGATCGAGGGCCAATGGAACACCAACTTCATTTAAGGGATTTTTTAAATTTTCCTCTTATTTTTTTCTCATAAATATTATGACATAATTTCTTCTCATATGTCATTGATTCATATTCAATAATATCCTTTTCATGATATAAATGAAAGGTACTTTTCAAAATTAAAAAATAATTAAATATTACGATTAAAGTTATCATTATATGAAATTTTGTTGGTCGGTAAAACAATTTTTTCAAGCTAATATCGTTATATTCTCTGCAAAGAGGACAGATGTTCGAATTCACTCGCACCTCATATGTTGTTGAGCTCAGTAAAGAGATCTTTTCTTTTTGGCTTGAGTAACCTCTTAGAAATTTTTGAAGGAGCACGCAAGTTAGGAAAAAACATATTGAAAAGAACCGTGTTGGGTTGTGGAGATAGTTTTCCTTCTTAGAAGCAATTCAACACAAGGAGATAACGTAGTTATGTCGTAGAGATATAAAAAAATGTTGGGTCATTTGTTGTCGAATCTAAATCTTGGGTATGGAGCGTTATAAGATATGTATACGAAATGAAGACGAAGAGTCAAAATTATTGAGAAAATGAAGCTTTTTAAACGTAGAAATCAAAGAAAATAAAGAAGAGAGATGAGGAATAATAAAAGCAAAAACGTGTTACATTAAGAAACCGTGAGAATAAGAGAATAATGTTCTTTGTAGATTTAGGTTTGCTTTTTCAATCTACTCGTGTTCACTTCCCAAGCCAGATAGAATAAAGTTCGGGTCCAAAAGACACAAGATTAATGATTTGCGTGACTTTTGCGATCAATATTACACTTACAAAGTGACCAAAAAACAGAGTTGTAGATGTTGTGAAACAGTTAAATTTATGTACAAGCTTGTGGTCACAAAGACTATAACAGTGAAGACAGGTTCTCACACTGACTTCAAACAAAGCTCTTAACTTCGAAGTTTATACAAGAGGTCAGCTCACTCCAAATCATCGTATCTAGCAATATCTAGCAATCCAGCATAAACCGTCTAGAATTTGGATCGAGAATCTCGATAGAATCGAAGAAAAAAAAAATGTTCTTCAAGCTCAAATTTAAAAAGTAAGAAAGCAAGAGAGGTTGGAAAGTAGGATGTGCATAATTTGACAAATCATGTGGGAATTATATAGACACCCAAAAAACAATTATGCATCTCAATCATTGCCTTCCCTAAGATTTAATAGTGAAGGGCAAGACATGTTCGGTTCCATGCCTTTTTGGGGGGCAAGCTCGACAAACTTTCAATATTCTCTCGGGTGTTAATAGTGAAAGAAAAGATGGCGCCCTCTAAACTAAGGGTACTATGTGTTTTCATTTATTTTCGTACTAATATGAATATAATTCAAATATAGCATGGTCGGGGTTGGGAATACATGTAACTAACATCCTAATACAGATTTATATTGAAATTGTACAAGTCCGTTACGACAGGGGTTGAGTGAACTGGTGACAAAATAAGCTTTTCTTAACTATTATATTTGTTTTATTGCTCTCATTCAGACGTGGTTTTGGTTTGTTCATACGAGAAAAAAAAAAGTCAAACCTTCGATTTTAAAATAGATAGGAGCTACATTTTAACCGGTACACGATTTAATATTTGGAGTTTTTAATTTAGAAATAATTATAAATAATTATGATGCATAGTTAAAATAAAATATTTAGGGATTAAAATGAAATAAATATGAAAAATTAAGATTAAAATACAATGAAGATGTAGCTTTGCAATAATTCACCAATAATGCTTTAGGAGAACAGCTCAACTTTTAATTTATTGAATAATTGAATATAACTTTTTCAAATGAAAGGGTAGTTTAGGAAATACAACCAAATTTTAGGTTAAGGACAAAAGAGTCTTCTACCACATTCCTTTAAAAACAGCTTTAAATTTTAAAAATGAACAATTCATTTATTTCAAAAAAAAAAAAAAAAAAAAAAAAAAAAAAAAAAAA